TAAGGGATCTTTCATTTTTATTATGCTATACTGCCTACTGACACAATGGAGCAATATATTTTATTAAGGCAGGAAAGTGTTTTCCTTTGTTCCTTCTAAAATTAAAAATTTAAGAAATGAAACCCAGCATTATTTCATACTATTAAAGAACAAAAGGTAAAAACCAATAAAATAAGTCAATAAAAAACGTGAGCAAAGATGACTTATTGTCATCTGACAGACCAAGAGTCAGCAAACTTTTTCTGCAAAGGGTCAGATGGTAAATATTTTAGGCTTTGCAGGCTATATGGTTTTGGTTGCAACTACTCAACTCTGCTGTTGTAGCCATAGGCAACATAAATGAGTAAGTGTGGTTGTGTTCCAATAAAACTTCATTAATGGACACTGAAATTTAAATTTCAAATAATTTTCATGTGAAACCCAATACTACTCATTCTTAGCTTACAAACTATACAAAAAAAGACGATAGACTGGATTTGGCCTACAAGCTGTAGTTTGCTGACTCCTCTGATAGATTATAAGAGTTTCTTGAGGATAGGAACTATGCCTTATTCATTTTCTAACTCCAGCACCCAACATGGCATTAGATACCTATTAAGGGTTAAAAATAAAAAGCTTGATGAATGAATGAGTGGATAAAACCTAAGATGTACGCTAGGCTTTTATTTAACTCTCTAATTCATGATCAAAATAATACATTAGTTTACAACCCTTTATTCTGGTGTAGCCTAGTACTCAAAGTGCTAAAAATTATTTTTACCTTATAATTATTAAATAGCTTAATATTTTATAATTTCCCATAACATATAAGCAAACATTTCTTTGTAATTATTTAGCTGTTCTTTTTTAATGAATCTTAATCTTTTAGTCTCTTCTAGAATTTATGCCTAAAGGGCTTTGCACTTTACCTCACTTACACATTCTTGATTATACTTCTACTTTTTAAAAATAATAAAAGATTCTTTTGTAATAATACCTATTTTGGACACACATTATTTTTAAGTGACAATGGGACATGAAGAGATAAATAAAACTTTGTATAGCAATGAGTTCTTATGTTTCACAGAATTTTATAAATACTAGCATTTCACGAATACCAACAGATTATCCAACCTTTATCAGAGCAAAGAAAATACAATCTAGTCTTTAAAAGAAAGCTTTTTATATCAAAATAAAACACTAAAAAGTTGAAGAGTGTGGATTATTATGCTATTATATGTAAGCTTTGATAGTATCCATGTTTAGAGGCAGGAGAAGGCCAGTAGGCAGGTGACTATCAGATTAAGCATATTCTAATATACAGGGCTTAAAAATAGACACAAATTCATAATTTAGGAAAATAAATTCTGATTGCCTTATTCCTATAAAATATGTAAACAGGATACACTTTGCTAAACTTGCTCTTCCATTTTTCTTTGATAGACCTGGGAAGAAATCTAAGTCTATTAAACTTCTCATTTTCTCTAGAGTTCATACCCATTGATACTAACTTTAGATTCCTGTATTTCATTTATTCTATTTATCAATTTCCCCCTTCATTTTTTTCTAACACACACATTCCACAAACAATTGTCTCTTGTGTTTATAGATCAAAACTAATTATTGACAATTACTGACTGTAAAAATATTAGTACCTTAAAAGAGAAGTTTTACATTATTTTATCTCTACCATTAATTAATATTATATATATATAAGTCAATAACTTCTGACTCTATTTAAAAATATTTGTAACCCTAAGTTGTAGATAGGTAAATGTGGTCTAGAAATAGTTTCCTCTCTTCTTAGGCACAATTATCTAAGACAAACAGGTTAAAGACAAATAACTACATTATTATAGGCCCAAAATTATATTTCTGGATTCTTAGCTGACATCCCAGTGTTGTATTTTAGACATTATAAGAACTGCAACTATTTAGGGTATAGAGGAAATGGGAAATTAGTAGAATTATTTGGGGTGGCCTTATATTGCTTTTATGCATACACAGTTTTCAAAGGCTTAACAGTCCTACAGACTTTTGCTGTAGATAATCATACCATATGTATTTATATAGATATGAAGTGAGGTAAATCTATTAAAGATCAAGAAATTCAGGATCAGGTAAGTTACCTGTTTGACATATTTATGTACATTTTAAACTCATTTAAAAAAAACCCACCTGAACACAATTTACCCAGGTAGTAGCTATAGGTATATATGAATATAAGAATATAAAAGCATGTCTAAGGTTTTCAGGTAACTGAAAAAAACTTCAATTAGGAATACAGGACTTCTCAATTTCTGATATAATGAAACATACAAGGCCGTGGAAAGAGAGAGACTCCTGTCAACTAACAGTATCAAAAAGGGGGGAGGATAAATAGATATTAGAATGGTAGAAATTCAAGACCTCTGATTTATATGGGGATGGAAAAGATAAAATACAAAGTGTACTATATCAAAATTAAAAAATAATTTAACAAGGGGCTGGCCCCGTGGCCGAGTGGTTAAGTTCACGTGCTCCGCAGAAGGCGGCCCAGTGTTTCATTGGTTCCAATCCTGGGCATGGACATGGCACTGCTCATCAAACCACGCTGAGGCAGCGTCCCACATGCCACAACTAGAAGTACCCACAACGAAGAATATACAACTATGTACCAGGGGGCTTTGGGGAGAAAAAGGAAAAAAAATAAAATCTTTAAAAAAGATAATAATAATTTAATAAGACTGTGAAGATTTCATGGATATATTTTAAATCCAGTGTAACACTGTTTTTGTCCATTTGGTAGTTACATACAAAAAATACTACCAAATCTGTCCACTTGGTAGTTACGTAGCAACTAATAATAAAAAAAAAAAGTAAGGGGCCAGTCCAGTGGCATAGTGGTTAAGTTCACACACTCTGCTTTAGTGGCCCAGGATTTGCGGGTTTGGATCCCGGGTGCAGACCTACACACTGCTCATCAAGCCACGTTGTGGTGGCATCCCACATAAAAAACAGAGGAAGATTGGCACAGATCTTAGCTTGACAACAATCTTCCTCAAGCAAAAAGAGGAATATTGGCAACAGATGTTAGCTTAGGTCCAAGTTTCCTCACCAAAAAAAAAAAACCCTTATAAGTTAACCCTTACATAGCACTTACTAAAATGCCAGGGTTCTCACTGAATCCTCTCAGACACCCTGGTAGGTAGGTACTTCTGTTTCCCTCATTTTATGGGAAACTGAGGCACAGAGTGGTTTAACGACTAGTCTATAGTCCTCATGCTAGTAAACAGCTGAGCCAGGATTCAAAGGTTTCAATTTTCAACCTAGCATTTTGGTATTAACTTGAAGCTCCACAGAATACAAAATACTTAACTTTGTGATGCAAATTATTTCCCCACAATTAAAAATAATGTTGTTTATTGGTTATGAATGAATTCTATGGTAACATTTTTTCTACTTTTTTGATATAAAAATAAGCAATATGAAAATATCAAATCATCACACAAAAAACAGGGATATATAAACCTGAGGTCATTTACTCTCAAACATCTACCACAACACCCAAACTCCAAAAATCAATGTCTTCACAAGATAAGCATTTCTCTTATAAACAAAACAAAACACAAACACATCTCTACAGGACATGGCTTCCCTACAATTATACTTTTAAAGTTAGTCTCAAAGTTTAAAAGAAATGTAAAAATTGGCCAAAGGACTCAGAAGCTAAATAAATTATGTAAGGATGACTTCTTTTTTAAATAGTTGGAGTTAATTTCTCAATACAACTCTATTGTGACTGCTTTAAAAGCAAAACCAATTTATTTATAAGCCTAATTATAATAATATCCAAAAACCTTCTGTGCTATAAATTTTACATAGAAGAAAGGAAAATATTTTAAAACTTGTTTAAAAATTTGCATTTTCACACAATAGAACAGTGGTTCTCAAAATGTGGAAGTATGGTCTATGGGCCACAGCAACATCTACATCACCTGGGGCCTTGTTAGAGATACAAATTCCTAGGAGCCAGACTTTTGCAGATTTATTGAATCAGTAACTCTGTGGGTGGATCCTGGGAATCTGTTTTAACAAGCCCTCTGTCTGATTGTGGTGCAGGCTAAACTTTGAAAACTACTACTGTATACTAGAGTAAGAAGCACAATAATTATTTAACAGATGCAGAGCAAAAGTATCTTGCTGTTAATAAGATAGTAGTTACAATAGTATACTGATTTGAAAATAGGACATAGTTAACATGAAGCTGAAATTCAGCCAAGAAACATTTTTTTGAGAAGTAAAGGAAACAATGTTACAAGTGGTAATATAAGTTTGCATATGACTCTGAAGTGACACCTCAAGTTTATGGTTTTCTTAAAAAGAAAGACTTTTTCCCCTGTATAATGAACACTGCCTACTCTTCATTCTTTCCCTAATTTTTCTCCTTGTGCAAAGGCTGAAGATGATTCTTGTGGCATGAAGCCTAGATATTAATTCTGCTCTTTGGCTTATTAAATTCTGTACTTAAATTCTCATTTAAAATTATGGAATATATAACTCTTTCTCATCAAAAGTACTATAAAACTGGTATAAATATTCTATTACAGTCATACAACTGTGCTTTGAAACCAATGAGAAGGGTATCTCAAGAAAAGAGAAATCAGAAATGTTTGAATTACATTAACAAAGTAATCAGACCAGATGCCATGGCTAAGAGTCAGAGTTCTGCCATCACTTCCTTTGGCAATATGTCTGAATTTCAGCTGATACCACAGGCCACTGAGCAAATGCAGTATTACATTCTGGACCAGTTAAACCTTCCTCATATTATACCATTTCTAGTTTAAGACCAAAGAAAAAAAGTCAAGAAACATTTTTTTATATAATAATTCTCCCACAGCAACTTTTTCACATTCTTAGAACCACAAATCACTTGCTCTGCCTAGCAAAATTATAAAAATAATATAAAAAGTAAGAAGGATTAAAAATAATATGAATAGTCTACTCCTTGAATATAAGAAAGGCATATACTATCTCACCTCTGGAGTAACATCTCGTGGTGCAAACCCTGTTCCTCCAGTTGTTAATATCAAATTAAGTTCCTTTTCATCACACCAATCTATCAGGGTTTCCTGAAAGAAAACAATAATATTGTCACAGCAGAAGGACTTGCCTGACTGCTCAAAACATTCAAGTACTCAAATATTTCATATGCAGTAAGGAAACAGAATCTTTTCTACAATTAACAGGAAAATTTTGAAGCACAATTCATGGAACAGCTTCACTGTTGATCAAAACACATTGCAGTTTTGGGTATTTCTTTTATTCATTACAGAAAATGAGGGCGCAAGCACCAAATTCTTGAAAGTAAATGAAACACAGGAAATACCACAAATAAAGAGTTTATCATTAATGTTTATTATGTACTTATATCACATATCTGATGCTCTTTTCAGCCATTCAAAACATATTCAGGTTAAAAACAACCTGAGTACTACCTAGATGTTAATTATATGATCTCACTACTTAATAACTACACCAATCCTGTCAGGTAAATATTCATACTTCAACTTTATATTCAAGGAAACAGACTCATTCATTTTTTCATTAATGGGTTTAAAGAGATCAAGAAACATACCTGCACATGGGCTCACAGACCTGAATGAGGACAGCTAGGATTCAAACCACATCTGTTGGACCTTCAAGATGTTCCCTATATTCTGCCTGTCATTGAGCCAAGATTTTCTGCTAAGTTTCAAGTTGTTTAGGAAAATTTTACATTTTTCAGGATTTATTTTACATAGTTGTCTTATTTCCAGATAAGACAACTGAAGTACAAAAGTGGTTAAATAATTTACTCAAAGTTACCCAGCTAGTTTGTAAAGAAGTGGAACTAGGACTCTGTTTGCTTAATCTATTGTTAATTCTATTCATCCATCCCACATTTTAGCTATTTACTAGAAAGGACTATTAAGCACTCATTTAAATTGTAATCAAAAACTAGCTTTGGTATTATATTGTTTCATTATCTTTTTACAATTCAGATCCAAAATTTAACAATACAAGTATATAATTTAGTTGCTGATAATTAGATGTGATACAGTAGCAGGCTGATAACTAGATGTAAAATACAATGCCCTCAGTTCTTCAAATTTATCAGTGACACAAAATGAAGGATAATTATTTAGAAGGGCAAATTCAGGATCTAAACATGACTTTTTCCCCTATCTTCTCACATTTTTATTTCATCCTAGTATCAGAGGAATGGAGAGCCCAAAGCTCCAAATGAAGGAAATTTTTTTCTGTGCTATAATTAATGAATGACAACAATTTTTTTTTTTTTGCTTTTTTTTGCTGGGAAAGATGCACTCTGAGCTAACATCTGTTGCCAATCTTCCTCTCTCTTTTTTTTTCAACTCTCCAAAGTCCCAGTACCTAGTTGTATATTGTAGTTGTAGGTCCTTCTAGCTCTTCTATGTGAACTGTCACCACAGTATGGCTAATGACAAATGAGTGGTATGGTTCCGTGCCCGGGAACTGAACCTGGGCCGCCAAAGGGGAGCGTGCTAAACTTAACCACTAGGCCATCAGGGCTGGCTCAAACTATTTTTAAAAAGACATAAATTGTATTACAGACAGCTAATCTTCAACAAAGGAGCCAAGAATATACAACGGAGAAAGGAAAGTCTCTTCAATAAATGTGCTGTGAAAACTGGACAGCCACATGCAAAAGAATTAAAGTAGACCATCAGGGCCAGCCCTGTGGCCGAGTGGTTAAGTTCTTGCGCTCCACTTCCGTGGCCCAGGGTTTCGCTGGTTCAGATCCTGGGCGTGGACATGGCACTGCTCATTGGGCCATGACGAGGTGGCGTCCCACATACCACAACTAGAAGGACCCACAACTAAAAATTTACAACTATGTACTGGGGAGAGTTGGGGAAAAAAAGCAGAAAAAAAAGAGAAGAAGATTGGCAACAGTTGTTAGCTCAGGTGCCAATCTTTAAAAAACAAAAAAAGAAAGTAGACCATTATCTTTCTCCATACACAAAAATAGACTCAAAATGGATCAAAGAATTTAAGGTAAGACCTGAAACTATAAAACTTCTGGAAGAAAATATAGGCAGTAAACTCTTTGACATCAGACTGAAAAGGATGTTTTCGAATACCATGTCTGCTCAGACAAGGGAAACAAAAGAAAAAAGAAACAAGTGGGACTTCATTAGACCAAAGAGCTTCTGGAAGGCAAAGGAAACCAAGATCAAATGAAAAAACAACCCACCAAATGGGAAAAAATATTTGCAAATCATATATCTGACAAGGGGTTAATCTTCATAATATATAAAGAATTCACACAAATGAACTACAAAAAAACAAACAACCTAATCAAAAAGTGAGCAGGGGATATGAACAGATATTTTTCCAAAGAAGATATCCAGGTGGCCAACAGACACATGAAAAGATGTTCAGCATCTCTAATCATCAGGGAAATGCAAATCGAAACTACAATGAGATATCATCTTACGCCTGTTAGAATGGCTATAATCACCAAGACAAAAAACAACAAATGTTGGAGAGGTTGTGCAGAAAAGGGAACCCTCATCCACTGCTGGTGGGAATGCAAACTGCTGCAGCCACCATGGAAAACAGTATGGAGACTTCCCCAAAAATTGAAAATAGAAATACCCTATGACCCAGCTATCACACTATTGGGTATTTATCTTAAAACCTTGAAATCAACAATAGAAAGAAACTTTTGCACCCTATGGTCATTGCAGCATTATTCACAATAGCCAAGACGAGGAACCAATCCAAGTGTCCATCGATTGATGATTGGATAAAGAAGATGTGGTATATACATACACACACACACACACACACACACAATGGAATACTACTCAGCCATAAAAAAGACAAAACTGTCCCATTGGCAACCACATGGATGGACCTTGAGGGCATTATGTTAAGCAAAATAAGCCAGACAGAGAAAGACAAACACCATATGATTTCACTTATATGTGGAATATAAACAAACTTATGGACAAAGAGAACAATTTAGTGGTTACCAAGAGGAAGAGGGGTGGAGGGTGGGCACAAGGGGTGAAGAGGCACTTACATGGTGTCTGACAAATATTAATGTATAACTGAAATTTTACAATGTTATAAACTATTATGACCACAATAAAAAAAAAAAGATATAAATTGTAGACTACTGAGAGCCAGAAAGCTCAAACACACACAAATTAATGAGTATTATAATAAAAGTAATATTGAGGTGGTTTCACAACCAAACTTAAAATTTCCACTCTCTGTGCTTTTATCCATTTAAAAACTAGGGAAGTGTAAAGAATCATCATTCTAAGTAGTTATTATTATTTCTGATCTATAAAAAAGCATAGTTGATACCACAACTCAGCAATGAGATTAACTGATCTTGTCCTCCCACTAATGGATGCCAGAACACTAGATTTCTTTGTAACATTCCTAAACACACCATCTCAGTACTGGATTGTCTGTGCCACAGCTGTCTCATCTCTGACCACACTCTATTTACATTAGATCTTGACAAAAAGTGATATGAAATCGAAGTTGTATCAAAAAAATACCTCAAGCAATAAAAAAACTATATATCAAATACAATTTTCAGTATTTTCAAGAGCAAGGGGGCATTCAAACTTTTCAAATTTTAAGATGCTAATAACGATAGTCAAAATAGTTCCTTTACATTGAAGAATGCTACTGTTTGGCAATAGGCAATACCTCCTTATAACATAATTCACCTGTTCATTAAGTAAACATTTACTAAGTACCTACACCATGTATTAGGTGTTAAAGAGTTAAAAAAATAAATGAAAGACTGACCCTGATTTCAAAGAGTTCACAGTCAAGTAATGGTTCTCAACTTTGGTTGTACACTGGAATCATCTGTGGGACTTGAAAAAATACTAATGCTTGTGTCCCATCTCTGGGGTGCAGCCTGGGCACTGGGACTTTTAAAAGCTTCATAGGTGATTTTCAAATGCAGCCAAGCAATTGAGAACTATTAATATAAAGAGACAATTTGTTCAATTACCTGAAAGTGAATTTCACAGCTAACTCAACTGGGTGAGCCCACAAAGATGTTATGAGCTTAAAATTAGTTGCACCATAAGAATATTACTTAAATTTTTCTATTCCCAGATTGGATAACTGGTAATACCTACCATATAGACTTTTTCATTTAAACAATATTTGATATCTTGAGCTCAATTAAGGACTCGTTCAAGTATTTGGGAAGTACTATTTTGTTGTCTAAGTAGTTGCATGATGTGCAACGGTTTTTCATTTGAGCAAAAGTTTTAGTCAGGCTTTTGGACTTTTAAGACAAAATAGCAATCCTATCATTTACTCACTTGGTTTCCAAAACATAAGGATTCTCCCTCAATCACCAATAAAATACAAGTATTCCAGGCACCTAGTAGTCATATATTTACTTAACTCAATTCATTTATTTAACAAGAAAATATCTCAGAGTATACTTTTATTCAGGCATTTCATTAGATAACAGGGATAGAAAGATGAATAAAGCATGGTCCCTTGTCTCAAAGATTCAGTCAGGTAGAGGAGCCTGAATCTATAGTTGTCTAGACCCTTGCTACTAAAACTATGATCTGAAGAATAGCAGCATTTGTATCACCTGGGAGCTTGTTAGAAATACAGAATCTCATGTCCTATGCAAGACCTATTGAATCAGAATCTGCATTTTTAGAAAATGCACTCCCGAAAGTGATATACATGCACATTAAACTAGACTAAATATGCTTTCTACTATGTACTACTCTAGATTTTCTGAGTCTTACTTTTCTACCATGTTAGACTACCTGCAAGCAATTTATCTTACCAGATTTGTTCCTGCACAGGTAAGATCCCTTTGATTCTGAGATACAACTTAATATTTGGCTGCCTCTACCAGGCAGGATACAACTGAGCGCTTTTGCATGAAGCACCTTTATTTATTTATTTATTTTTTTGGAGGAAGATTAGCCCTCAGCTAACTACTGCCAGTCCTCCTCTTTTTGCTGAGGAAGCCTGGCTCTGAGCTAACATCCGTGCCCATCTTCCTCTAGTTTATACGTGGGACGCCTACCACAGCATG